ATATACTGAGTTAATTATCTAGGTGGGCCATTAAAGAAGCAATTTGGATCAACATACTTGTTACTGTTATTCACAAGGGTTGACTCTACAAAGCCGATCAAGGGTTTTGCATTTTATGAGAAGTTCTAGGGTTTCACTCATTTTGTATGTAGAGGAGTCTCTAGTTAGTAACATTAAAATGTGATCCTGTCTCAATTATAGACAACAACAATTTTTTTATACATCAGGGAATCAGATATGCTCCTAGATCAACATAACTATTGGGTGATTTGATGGTCTATGAGCAGCAAAATACCATAAATAGAATGCATCTTACTTAATTAAATCCATAGAGCAACGACATCTCGCTGTGAAATAGCTCTCACCAATTTTGGCCATGAAGCGATCTTTCAAAAAAAAAATTGGCCTTGAAACCAAGTTATGCACACTCATACCGGACTTATGTGCTTCTTGATACCACTTTGCATTACCTAGTGCACCAGAAGATTCCAAATGTTTCCCCAGATCAACAATGAACACAAGTCCAAACAGTATTATATGATGTAAACAAAATAATAAAATTTAAGGACTATGTGTTTCTTGATACCAGGGCCGTACCTATGAATTGGGACATGTGCTAATACATATCTTTAGTTCTTAATGTGGCAACTATATTTCTCGCTTACAATATTTCTTAAAATCCCCCAATTAACCAACTCATACAATGCTGAAAGACTAACAGATATAACAGTAGGAGATAATTAAGACCTCAGAGTGTAGCACAGACGCATGTATGCTACAAAATAGAATAACTACATCGTACTAAAATGGATGTACCTCTATGGCCACCCTTGTGTGTCTCTCTCTCTCTCTGTGTGTGTGTGTGTGTGTTTTGGGGGTTGTGTGTGTGGGGGGGTGGGGGGCAATCGCATTTGTGATAGTAGGACATTTTAGAGCAAGGAACTAATGAGTTCACGACAGTCGTAGTTTCTTATTTTATCACTTGCTTCCTGTGTGTGTGCAGTAGAAAAACACAATGGGTTGACAATCCCAGCTATTATAGGAGCCGAGAGAACACCACCGACCACATAAAACATATGGTAGCTTAATTTTTTATAGTTATTATTAATTGAACGATTTGGCCTCGTTACATACAGAAGCTAAGCCAACACCAGCATCAGTTGTGGATGCGATAGTGGCCATGAACAGCCTTCAAGGTCGGGAAGTGGCGATGGCAGACTGGGCACCGGTAAGGCCTGTCCCGAATAGGGTCGTTAATCATGTGCAGTACTGGGCCGTCGTCGTTGGCATCGTGCACCGCCTTGGGGTCCCATGGGCGGCGGCTTGGGTCATCACCAGTGCACCCTGCCCCGCCGGCGAGTAATTGGCCATAGGCCATGGAGAGGAGGAACACCTGCATTCCGTTCATAGCTAGGGCAAAATGAGAGATGGAGAGAGTGGGCAGTTGGGAAGGTGTAGTGCAGGTTATGAGAAGCATTGAGTATGGGTAAATGGGCTTATATAGCTAGGCTCTGTGTGCTTCAGGGTCAGAGCTTGCTAATAGCCTAAAAGATCAGGCTAAAACCCGTACCTAGTGGCCATATTGATTGTGTTTTGTTTTGAATGGCAACAAGTCATAAGATATGTTGTAGTATATGATATCTCGTACCTACTAGATACCTTAGTTCTTGAGATCAGTATATCCCTAACATCTAGCTTGTTGCTGTTTGGACTTCAACGCCATAGCAGAAATATATCTCTATGTTCCAAGACTAAAAACTCCTACTACACGTCTTCTCACATTAAATTAAAAGCTGCTGGAAACTCTGGTTTCTGTAGAAACAGTGGGCTTAGTTTGGATTGACTCCTCTTTGTTGGCAAACACCAACTTTCTTTGGAAGGTAAATTTTCACATGCATGCATAAGGAAGTAACTAATCCAGACTTGAGAAATACACCATCGAATATAGATACGTTTATACTTTCTCAGATAGATTAAGGAGAGTGGCAAAAATGTCTAATATGATCGACTTTATTATATATGTCCTTGCATGCTCAGTGAGATCTATGTATAGCAATGATGTCTCCATGCTAATTCATGGAAATCTTCATGCTGCCATTGATTGATCCGCGGAGATTTGCATCCATTCACCTATTTAATCCTCAGGCTTTTGAACCCAAATATATGTGTAATCTGGGATAAATTCTAAACTCTAAACATAGCTATATTCGTTCTAGGACGGAGTGAGTAATTAATTAGATGAAAATGATCTTGAAAGCCTTTGAATCAATAAGGATATAAACAGGCAAGTGAGCTAATCATCCCAAATCAGGTGCAACCAAGAGGTGTTGTAGTTAAATAACCAATAGTAACACATATCTGAACATATCTTTCAAATGCAATTAGGATAACTCAAAAAATTATTTAGAACAAGCCCAAGTTGAAACATTGTAGATTGGACCATGATTGTGTTCATGCATGATTAAATTATATTATGTGTTAATATACTCTTTAGATATCTCTATCTCTATCTCTATCTCTACTGGAACCTTGTTCCATTATTAAAAAAAATCTCTATCTCTATCTGTAATCACTATCTCTATCTTTACAGCTAAAAAGCGGCAAAAGATATCGTCTGCGCGAAATGTTTTTGCGGTGGTAACCCCGGTCCGTCGCCCTGCTCCCCCCTACACGGCCCCTTCGGCAAATCTCGTCGCCTCCTCCAACCTAGCTTCTCACTGATACTGAAGATTCGACCGCTGAGACAAGGAATTTATCTTTCTTTATGTCTCCTAAAACATGTTTTGTTTGTGGAAAATTATTACACTCGATATAATCTCTATATCTCTATATCTCCATCTCTATCTTTAATCTCTAATCTCTAATCTCTATCTCTGCTAGAACCTTGTTCCATTATTAAAAAAAATCTCTATCTCTATCTTTATATCTCTATCTCTATCTCTATCTCTACAGCTAAAAAGCGGCAAAAGACATCATCTACGCGAACTGTTTTTGCAGTGGTAGCCCCAATCCGTCGACCCGCTCGCCCCTATGCAGCCCCTTCGGCAAATCTCGTCGCCTCCTCCAACCTAGTTTCTCACCGATACTGAAGATTCGACCGCCGACAAGGATTCTGTCTTTCTTTATGTCTGCTAAAACATGTTTTGTTTGTGGGAAATTATTACACTCGATATAATCTTTGTATCTCTATATCTCTATCTCTATCTCTATCTTATCTTTAATCTCTAATCTCTATCTCTGCTGGAACCTTGTTCCATTATTAAAGAAAATCTCTCTCTCTCTCTCTCTCTCTATCTCTATCTCTATCTCTAATCACTATCTCTATCTCTATCTCTACAACTAAAAAGCAGCAAAAGACATCGTCTGTGCGAACTGTTTTTGCAGTGGTAGCCCCAATCTGTTGCCCTGCTCGCCCCTATGCAGCCCCTTCGGCAAATCTCATCGCCTCCTCCAACCTAGCTTCTCACCGATATTGAAGATTCGACCGCCGACAAGGATTCTATCTTTCTTTATGTTTGCTAAAACATGTTTTGTTTGTGGGAAATTATTGCACTCGATATAATATGAGCTCATCAAGTTCTATGGATTATATAATCTTAAGAATGCGATGACACACAAGCCTCCAAACATTATTTCTATTGCTGATTGTCCCTAGCAAGGTCTACTGATTGCCCTCCAAGCCACGATGGTATCGATCTTTGTGCGACACGTTGCCCCATTTGTGCTCTACATCTTGATGGCGGCCATGTGTCTAAACCGTCCAATTTATGCTATCTCAAGTACGCCTACTGTCATTCTATGGATCTCTAGCCGATACACACTTGAGACAACATAAATCTGGTAGTTTATCGAGTGTCCCTGAGGGACCCTGATTACACTAGCTAGGATCGAATATCAGGATTTAAAACATTCACATAACAACACACATAGATTGCGGAGGAAATAACATTACAAACTAAAGTGCTTGAAATATTACAATACCAAGTTCAAAGGTATGATTAAAGCTCAAACAAATATAGGTTCAAAGTAGCTGTGGTGTTTGGAGGCTTCGCTTGAAGATTATAATTTATGATTCCGCTACTTTGATGCAAGCTTTGTCACTATGTAAGTGATAATGTTATATTGTTATTTTTTTTATGTAATAAAGCACTGTCTATTAATACAATAATACTGTTGTAATTTGTCGTCGTATGTGTGTGATTGATTCCTAGGCACACGTATGGTGTACATCTAGTTTTGTTCTTAAAACCGGGTGTGACAAAAATAGTGTAATCTTTCGATCAATGGGCGCATACATTGTACCAGCAAGATGTCCATAAACAGTGATAAATATCCCTTTAAAACCTTATAATATTCAAGATACCTTTGAAAACAAATATATAGAAGAAAAAACTTGAATTTTATACTATGTAAAATAAGCAAATCGCAGACACCACCGCCTAGTGTTGCAAAAACAAAACGCGTCTGTAATATAATATTAGACGTGTCTAGACAAAACGCATCACTGATATGTCAATCCTGGAAAATTAGATATTTTTATGGCATATATTACAGACACAAATCATTAAAATGCGTCTATGGTTTGTAGTTGGGACGCATCTGTAACATTAGTTCCTTACTGACACACGTGCAGTAATAACTCTGTGTCACTTGGTTGTCCCCATGAACCCGAAAAATAATTTACTCTAGCGTATCACCGAGCCTCATGTTTGCCGAAGCCCACCCCCACGCGCCCCGACTCCAATCCCATCCTCGTCTCCTATTGTCTCATTCCTCTCTCTCTCTCTCTCTCTCTCTCTCTCTCTCTCTCTCTCTCTCTTCTCGGATGTTATTCACACGTACACAAGCGGCGGTGGTGGCGACGACGTGGGTGCACCCATGCCTCTAAAACCTCATCCTCCTCCATTGGCACCCCACGCATCATCACAACGGCACGCGACGGTGGCAGGATTCTGGCCCGCGATTGGCAGTGGCGTTTGGTTCCAGGCACGCGAGCCACGATGGCGATGGGATTCCAGCTCGCAAGTGGCAGCGGTGGTGACTGGATTCAGGCGCACAGGCGGCGGCTGGTTCCGAGCGTGCGGGCCGCAGCGGCGATAGCGGCTGGATACGGGTGTGCGGGATATAGCTCGGCCATCTCTGGCCTCCTCCTCCATGGTGCGCCACGTGCTCATGGGTAAACACTCAAACCCAAACGTTAGCTTCCTACCATGGCTATGATTAACCCTAACCCTAGCCCCTCTCGCTTTTCAGGGACAAGATCCTGGTGACTCCCCTTAATCCCTCCCCTTCCTCGTGTCACTAACCCATATCCCGCTTTGCAGGATGTGGTGTTGCAGGTGGAGCCGGCCAGGTCTCGTCCTCAGGTGTTGTCGCCGCCACTACTGATCAGGTTTAGCTCCTCTTTCTTGTCTACTGTGGTATTTTTGGAATTTATAGTGACTTGTTTTTTAATTTACCCATCTGCACTGTTAATCGACTAAGAAGAAAACAAGAGGGGTAAGAAAAATGGACGAGGCAATAGGAATTGTTATGGAACTAGCTAAAGAAACAGGTTTAAACTATGTTTCCCTTTTAACTTATCCGAATATAATATATACATGGAGTTTGCCATCGGTGCCTTAACATCTCTATTTGAGGCAAGAGGAGTTCCAAATTGTGTGTTGCTTATGTCAGAGTTCGTTAGGATGGATTGAGCTCATCTATTGAGAAAGGGGCTAAAGCCCATATGTACAAGTGAAGAACAATATGCAAAGAAACCCTTGTACAGTGGGGATAAACAAGACACACACATATCTCTAACAGAATTCAGTATTATCGCATAGGATGACCTTATAATATAGCAAGATACGTCTTTGTAGTCTTTCATCGAATGCTTCTTTATCTGATGCGATCATTAATTATGTTTTTTACAGAGGAGGTCTGCAAGCAACAGTTGGCGCAAGATGTAGAGTCACCAAGGGCTGCATTTTTCAAGTCTCAAAGGTCTGTTTATTTTGCCCTTATCACATTAGTAATCATGTAGATCAGTACATGATCCCTTCTTTGCAGAGGAAAGATTTTTCTTTACTTTACTCTGTCTTGCGCACTCTATGCCCCTATTTTCTGCTGTCTTCTGCAAATATTTTCTGCTTATTCTTGGTATGTTTCAGACTCCTAGTGAAAATACTGACAATTTTATGCTGAAGTAGTGTTCTACATGCACCCTTCTTAGTGCTCCTCTCTGCAATATTTGTCAGGGAGCAAGAATATGCTGAAGTAACATTCTACAATTGTATGGCTTCAGCATAATGTGTCGCTCGAGCTCAATGCACAAGGTGATCTTAGCAGTGCCAAACTTTATTGTGAAGGTAAGGCTTGTTTGTCATTTCATAGTTGCTTTGTCCTCTTCTTTCTAGTCCATGTGCGACACTCTCTCACATAGTTGTGCCTGTTCTGCACTTTTAAATTGTAATGTTGTACACATATCTAGTACTGGCAGGATGTTGGTGTTTGGTTTTAGATTTTGTTGGCTGCATTTGTACTGTGCATAAAAAATGGTACAACAGCAGCATATTTTGCTTGGCTTGCTACACTAGCTTGTTACTCTGTCATCTCTCTGGAGTTCTGAAACTATCATTTATGTACTTCTCACATTGCTTCATCGTGCTTAAAGCAAACCCTTTTAATATGCAATTCTATACACACGCTGGAAATACACTTATGCTTATATAATGTTAAGCTCCATGTCTGTTTCCATTATTAGTACTTAAAGAACTTGATGAATCCATTAATTATTTGCTAGCTTAATTCGGTGATCTTTTGGCATCAGCAGTCTTTGTCCAGAACAAGTCCTGCAGGTGATGACCAAATGTGTATGGTACACTTGCCACTACATCATTCATATCACCTAGATCTGAATTCTGATGTTTCTATGATTATAATTTTTCTTGTGATTTTCAGCTGTAAGGGGCAGCAGTAATCCTTGCATTAGCAGCTTGAGCATTACTGAAGAAAGGTAGTTTGCTCAGAAACAGATGTGCCTTCATTTCAGGGACACAGTACTACTAGTCCGCCACCAGGTGAACACATCTAAACTTTTGTCAGCCTATGTATACGCACTGCCCAGATATGTTTACGAGTTTTTGAAATTACAGTAATTCTCTACCTGTAGGAGGCATTGATGATCGTGCAAGCATCAGCACGGACTTGACTGACACCGTTATTACCTAGCTGAAGTGCCTGCTTTCTCTCGCAAAAAGGTGGTTGGTCACCAAGTGACTGAGTCACACTTGCCACTAATTAGATCATATAACACCTCGATCAGATGTTTCTGTGATTACCAACTTTTTTGTGGGATTTTCTAGCTGCAAGGGACAACAGTGATTCTTGCATTAGCAGTTCAAGCATGATGATGGTAATGGCGGTGTCTGAGCTTGCATCCGCTGAGGGATGTGATCCACCAACAGGTAACTGGATGTTCACTTTCAAGTTGCAAGTAGTAATACATCAAAGATTTGTCATCAAGTCTCTTGCAGTGTTGATGTGTATTCGTTCTTGTATGTGTTGATTGTACTGTATGATGTGAGAAACAAATTGTACAATGATGTAATAAATAAATTGTACAATATCACGTGTCATGTAATAAACATTTGTTTTGTTTTTTGAAATCATCATTACAGACGCATCTAGAAAAAACGCATCTATGATAAGGAGTCATTATCACAGACGCGCTTTGTTCTATACGCGTCTGGGACGATGAGTCATCACAGACGCGTTTTGTTCTATACGTGTCTGTGCAAGGAGTTATGACAGAAGCGTTTTGTATATACGCAGTGATATGTACTTGTTACAGACACGTGTTTACGCGTCTGTGGTTTGCGGTAAATACAGACGTGTTATGGACTTATGGGAGACGCGTGGAACCCACATCTGTGATGTGAGTTACTACGTGTTGTGTTCATGTGGCACATTATTTATCATTTCACGCGGATATACTGCGTGTTGTATTTGTGTGTCACACATTTAGCATTTCATGTGCATATACTGTGTGTATTCACTCTGGATTCAGTTTCTTTGCCAAGTGCCCGAGGCACTTTCGGCAAAGGCCTTTGCACTTTGGCAAAGCCTTTGCCGAAAAGTCGCACTCGACAAAGAACACACGGCAAAAATTGATCGGCAAAGCCCTCTTTGCCGAGTGTCTTTTATCGGGCACTTTCGGCAAAGAAAGCGACAAATCACGGCGCCCGCCCGTTGATTTGTCTCTTTACCGAGAAAGTGCCAACCCTGCAGGCACTCGGAAAAGATTTTTATTTTTTTAAAAAATTTCTTTGCCGAGTGCCCCGGCCGGCGCTTCGGCAAAGTTTGATTTTTTAAAAAATTCTTTGCGAAAGTGCCCTCTGGTCGGCACTCGGCAAAGTTTGAATTTTTTTGTGGGCTTTTTTTTGCCGAAAGTGCCCTCTGTCTGCACTTTCGGCAAAGTTTGATTTTTTTAAAAAATTCTTTGTCGAGTGCCCTCTCATCTAGCACTCGCAAAGTTTGATTTTTTTGTGGGTTTTTTGCCGAAAATATGGTCACGACACTTTCGGCAAAGCTAGAAAAACGGTTTTCGAACGCCCATTTTTCGACTTTGCCGAAAGTCGTGACCATGGCACTTCAACATCGGAATCCTTGCCGCCGAGTGCAACACTCGGCAAAGTGACTCAAAATGATAATTTTTGGTTTTTTTTACATTCCATCATGACAAATAAATTCATACAAACATATATCACATATATATCTCATCCATCGCATATATATCTCATTCATCACATATATATCTCATCCATCCACACATCCATATGCACATATCACATCCATCACAATATATATCACATATATAATAATAAGTGCTCAAGTCCATCCAAATAAATCCACAAGTCCATCAAAGTCCACAAGTGCATCACAAGTATATCACAAGTCCATCAATAAGTGAACAATAAATGAAAAAAATACAACGTGCACTCATCTCGGACACTGCGACTGTGGTGAAGGCCCAGCTCCATCATTCGAAGGTGCATGAGGTGGATTATTCGAACCACCGTCAGATGGAGATTGCACAAAGGAGTAAAGATTGCATGTGAGACAAGATTATTTGGATAGCTAATCTAGGAAGGTAGAGGCCATACAAGCAAAGCACAAGCGAAAGTAAAAAACTTTCATACTCACAGGAGTAGCTGCAGCTGCAGGACGCGGAGGCGGAGGTGGAACCAACAGCCCAGCTGGCAGAGAGAAGCCCACACGTTGCCCAAGTCCTTGTAGGAACTCCGTAATGTCCATCAGGCTCTGCGCCTGGGCCTGCCACTCGGTCCGCTCGGTGTCCAGCTGGGCCGCCAGCTCCTGACGTTGCCTCATTTCTTCTTCCAGCCGGGCCTGCAATATTTTCACTCTAATGTTTAAGTAATGCAAAGCTAATTAAGGTGTGTAAAGATCAATGTATGACAAGTAAAACAGGAATAACCTTGAGTGCGTCGACCCGGTGTTGTGCAGTGGTCGGCCGTGTGCGAATGGCCGGGCTCTCGCTCGTGCTCCGTGCTCGGATCTAGGAGAGAGAGGAAGTAGAGGCCGTGTCGATGATGCCGGCGCCAAGCTAGAACCATCCATGCTTCTTGCCTTGCCCCGCCCTCATGATGGCCTCTCCATCGAAGTCCTAGGTGCTCGGATCGTGGTCTGACCCATGGAGCGACCTCGCCACCTCAGTGTACTCACTGATGCGGGAGTGGATGCTCGGGTTCATGTATGCCTCAGGCGGGTCCTCTAGGTTGAAGGAGACGTCACCTTACCCTTGTGGGCCATACACCATGCCTAGAAGTCCGAGCAAGCATGGCCACTATGTGACGCCGACTGCGAGAAAGACAGCACGATGATTAGAAATCAGGCAGAACTGAGCGTCACAATAGATAAATGAATTCATGTACCCATGCTTGTTTGTATCCGGCGAGGCTGCAGCTGCCTTGATGGTGTGCTGGACCTTGCATCTACAAACGACGGTCCCGGGCATCCCTGTGCATCTTGAGGTACTCCTCCGTGAACCACCTCTCCACCATCATCGCCTAGTACTCGGGATACGGTTGGCACCACCAGGGAATCATCTACACGTCATCAAGTATTGGACATATAGGATGATCAAATTAAACCAACTTAATCTCAAAACAAATCAATATTGATGTTCTTCATTTACCTCAAGGTACTACTCCCGGGTCAGCTGCATCTCTCTTGCGTCTTTCTTGGTTTTCCTCTCTCCAAGCTTTGACCCGTAGTAGGTTATGATGGCCTGGATGCGCACCTCGTGATGCATGTCGGTGATGAGTTTTTATAGGCTTTGGTAGTCACCTGCTCCGCCCTGACCTCAAATTCCTCCTCGCATCTATAATAAGTCTCTGCAATGGAAGCCTCAATTTTGGCTTTATTTCTACATTTTTTGCGAAGAGTCTTCAGACATCTCTCGTTTGGATAGCACCAATGGTCTTGCATGCCCCCCCATCTGTGCCTCATATGGGAGGTGCACAATCAAATGCTACATCGGCAAGAAGAAGCCGGGTGGAAAGATCTTCTCCAACTTACAGAGCAACACGAGTGCCGCTTTTTCCAACTCATCAATGACGGTCCGAGAGAGCTCCTTGGCATAAAGCTGGCAGAATAAGTAGCTCAACTCTGCCAGCACTTGCCAGACATGCTCCGAGACATAGCCTCGAACCATCGTCGGAAGAAGCCGCTCAATCCATATGTGGTAGTCATGACTCTTCATCCCGTTGACTCGCAGAGTGCCTAAGTTCATTCCCCTCTTTAGATTCGCTGCATACCCATCAGGGAACATTAGCGTCTGGATCCATTCAAGTACTTCCCTCCTTTGGTCCTTTTTCAAGACGAAATCAGCCTTAGGCCTTCTCCAGGTCTTGCCATGACTAGGAGGTTGCATCTCTTGATTTGGTCTATCGCACAACGTTGCCAGATCCACTCTAGCCTTAGGGTTGTCCTTAGACTTTTCAGTGTCCATGAGTGTTGCCCAAAGTGCCTCGGCGACATTCTTTTCAGTGTGCATTATATCAATATTATGTGGCAGAAGAAGGTCATCGAAATAGAGGAGCCTCGTCATGCCCGAGATATGAGTCCACATGTTGATCACCATATCCCACAAAACCACCTTCTTCATTGGGAATGAGAGCATCTATCTGAGCATGAACCTCAGCACCAGTCATCATCCGCGGTGCAGGGTTTGTCACTTTGACACCTTTCGTAAAGTTCTTGATGTCTTGTCTGAATGGATGGTCAAGAGGTAGGAATTGACGATGTCTGTCGAATGACTAATACTTGCCACCCTTCTGCAACCAAATGAACCTCACACCTTCCTTGCATATTGGGCATGGGAACTTCCCATGAACACATCAGGCGCGAAATATCCCATATGCCAGGAAGTCATGCAGGGAGTAGTGGTACCAAACGTGCATTTTGAAGGTTGTCTTTGTAGCTCGATCGTATGTCCATACCCCTTCATCCCAAGCACGGACCAATTCATCAAACACGGGCTCCATGAACACACCTATATTACTCCCTAGGTGTCCAGGAATTATCAACGACAAGAATACGTTATGTCGTTGAAAGGAGACACCGGGGGGAGATTAAGGGGGATAACGAAGATGGGCCAACATGTGTATGGAGATTAAGGGGGATAACGAAGATGACTCAAGTTTAACTCGGACTTCAACCCCATTAAGCGTCCAATGGCATCTAGTTGAGACACCGTTGACTGATCGTGAAGGGGTTTCTGTGCCAAGTCCATCATGTCGTAGAATGCCTATGAGGCTACCTCCATCTCCTCCTTCTCACGTCCCTCATCGAATTGTCCTTGGTGAAAGTCATCTAACATGTCTGCTACCCCGACATCAGCATCAAAAGCCTCCACCCATGGTCTCACCACCTCCTCTCTCATACGATGGGCTTCACCATGGTGGACCCACCGGGTGTAGTCCGGCGTAAATCCATTCTTCACAAGATGTTTACCCATTTCTACCTTGTTTACCCTTCTCCTGTTTCCACATTTGCTGTAGGGACACAAAACTAGGCAATGTCCTTTAGCAGCCTTGCCAAATGCATTGTTTAAGAAAGCATCAGTCTTGTCCATCCATTCTGTGGTGTAATCACTCTGACTTCTCCAGCCCGTGTACATCCACTAACAGTCATCCATCCTCTAACATATGTATCAGCGAGTAATGTAACCATCAATTGCATCTACATGGTGTTCCTAGTGTCTAATAGGTGAGGATAGGTCCTAATCCCACCTGCAGATGCGTAGATGAGGTTAGTTTCCATGCTCTACTCCTATCCGAGATAGAATTTCGGCAGAACCT